TGGCAAAATCCTTAATTATTGAATGAATAAAAATTAGACAACCATATAAAGAGCTCTCGGAAAGATATAAGCTGATTCAATTGCTTGATTTCGCTTAGTTTTTAGTGGAAAATGAAGCAAAGCATTGTGGGAGGGAACATGCTAATAACCTTAACTCAAGACTACGAATTGGGGAGGAAAAGAAATGTGCTCTGTGTTGAGTGCTGTTCATTTGGCTTCTAATTCACGGTGTGACTATCCTCTGAAAAAGTGTTGGTTATCATTATTATTGTTGTTAATTGTAGCAAAGTGTGCATAACAAAATTTGCCATTTGGACCATTTTTAAGTGTACAGTTTGGTAGCAACCATCACCACTGCACACCTCCAGAATTTTTTCATCATCCCAAACTGTTCCCATTAAACACTAACTCCCCACTCCTCTCCCCACAACCCCTGGCAACCCCTATTTCACTTTCTATGAATTTAGTAACTCTTAAGAATCTCATGGACAGAGGAGCCTAGCAAGCTACAGTCCATGGGGTTGCAAGAGTTAGACACAACTTAGCGAGAAAACCACATACTTCATATAAGGGAATCACACAATTATTTGACCTTTTGTATCCACCTTATCTCAGAGCATGTTTTTAAGGTTCATCCATGTTTTGTAGTATATTTCAGAATTTCATTCCTTTCTATGGCTAATATTCTACTGTATGGAATTTTGTTATCCATTTATTCTTTGACAGGAGGTTTCTTCCTTCCATTGTGAATAATGTCTCTTGGCATACAAATATCAGTTTAAGTTCTTATTTCAATTATTTTGTGTGTATATCTAGAAGTGGAATTTCTGAATCATATGGTAATTTAATATTTAATCTGAAAAGATTTTCTCTGGACAGGAAATCTTAATTCAGTGGAGAGAGGTTATTTCCACAGAAATGCCCACCTGTTCGTGAGTTTGAAGTAACTGTCACTCTCATTGCCTTGGCAAGTGGAAGGCTACTAGAAACCTTTATCTGGACTTGTTTCAGCTCTTAACTATATTTTCCAAAAGAGTTTTGGTTTTTGCTACTCACTAAGATGAAAACGGTAGTCTCTGAGAAAATTGTATTTAACCTTATCTCAGAGCATGTTTTTAAGGTTCATCCATGTTTTGTAGTATATTTCAGAATTTCATTCCTTTCTATGGCTAATATTCTACTGTATGGAATTTTGTTATCCATTTATTCTTTGACAGGAGGTTTCTTCCTTCCATTGTGAATAATGTCTCTTGGCATACAAATATCAGTTTAAGTTCTTATTTCAATTATTTTGTGTGTATATCTAGAAGTGGAATTTCTGAATCATATGGTAATTTAATATTTAATCTGAAAAGATTTTCTCTGGACAGGAAATCTTAATTCAGTGGAGAGAGGTTATTTCCACAGAAATGCCCACCTGTTCGTGAGTTTGAAGTAACTGTCACTCTCATTGCCTTGGCAAGTGGAAGGCTACTAGAAACCTTTATCTGGACTTGTTTCAGCTCTTAACTATATTTTCCAAAAGAGTTTTGGTTTTTGCTACTCACTAAGATGAAAACGGTAGTCTCTGAGAAAATTGTATTTCCCCCAACATTTCATTATGAAAAACTTCAAACAAGAAACGTTCAGTGCATTGCTTACTGAATATTTATGTAGTCATCAACTAGATGTAAAAATGACATAAAAAGGCCTGTTTGGGGATTTTCCTGGTGGTCCACTGGTTAAGAATGTGCCTACCAATGCAGGGGACACAGGTTCCATCCCTGGTTGGGGAAGATCCCACATGCTGCAGGGTAACTAAACTCATGTGACACTACTGAGCCCATGCTGTAGATCCCCGGCTCCTCAACAATGGAAGCCACTGCAGCCAGAAGCCTGTGCACCTCAACTACAGAGTAGCCCCCAGTCTCTGCAACTAGAGAAAGCCAGCGCACAGCAACAAAGACCCACTGCAGCCAAAATTTTTTCTAAAAAAGGCCTGTTTGATGCTGATGTCTAGTTAACTCTTCCCCACCCCCCACCACCCCCCACAGCCAGGGTAGGAAAAAACAGCAGAGAGAAAAAGAAAAGACTAACAGTGTGATTAATTTAGAGGACTTTGTCATTAATGCTTGGTGCAGTGGATTTGTGAGAAATGAAAAGACTAGCATCATCCAAAGAACTTCTCAGCCCTTGAGAATGTCTCGATTGGGTGGCTCATTACACCCTGTCAGTAGCTACCAAGGGAAATTGTATTTCTTCTTCTTCTTCTTCTTCTTTTTTTTTTTTTAGGGAAATTGTATTTCACCACTGTCTTGGATGACTTCATCCTCCACGGATGACTTCCCAGCACTAAGAAAGCTGGAAAACTCAGCTAACTTCTCCCCAGAACATGAGATTCTTTGGGGTCTAAAGGCACAATAACCTTGTGTTCCTGGCCAGTCTCTTGATGCTTATTCACTGGGGAAATAATGTGGTTGTGAAGTTTTCCATGATAATATTGGCCTGAGATGGGGGTAATGTCATGTTTTGACATTTCCATAGGTTTTGATCAAACACTCATTTTTGCAGAAAATATTCTGGATTATAATTTTTTGCCTTAGTTTCCATTCTACTATTTTGATCCTTTTTTTTTTTTCAGCCAGGGTTCCCTGTGGCTTCCGTGTGTCTCAGCTGGTAAAGAATCTACCTGCAGTGCGGGAGACCTGGGTTTGATCCCTGGGTTGGGAAGATCCCTTGGAGAAGGGAACAGCTTCCCACTCCAGTATTCTGACCTGAAGAATTTCATGGAAATTCATGGGGTGGCAGAGTCGGACATGACTGAACAACTTTCACTCACTTTCAGCCAGGGTGGTCAGGTTAACTAAAGCACAAAATATTCACGTCAAGTGATTCTCCCAGCCCAGGGACCTATTTGAGGTGTGACTGGAGGTACTGCTCCCAAAGTGATCTCTGGTAGCCTCGGCCTGCAGAGGCTTGAAGCAGGGCTTCGGTTCCCAGTCTGAGATTGAGGTCGGGTCTTGCAGAGAGATAGCTGAATCCTAACTACTAGACCAGTGATGAGTAACAAGGCCCTGGCTTTGCAAAAAAAAGAATTCCCACAAAGACGAAAAGTAGTAAGACAAGTAAAATGTTTGTTAGAAGGAAAAAGAGTACAGTACATCTAGATAGACACACAGGGGGACTCAGAGTTGCAACCTCATAGTAGTTTGAATCACTTATATGGGGCATTTCTTCTGGGTTTCCTTTGGCCAGTCATTTCATTCTGCCTGGTTCTGAATCCCTATTCGGTGCCTCTCAGTATCCTCCAATGTGTGCGCATGAATCTCTTGTCAGGATGGATTTTACCAAAAAAGCTTATGGGTAAATTTAGCATAATTCCTCTTTTGACCTCCAAAGAGTTTTCTGGTCTGGAAGTCAAGGTTTCCTTGACTTGAAGGATGAGAAATATGTGATCTCTTATTTTTATCTGGGCTGGGGCCAGCCTCCTCTCTTGGTTGTACTGCTATTGATATTTTGGAGTTTCTGTCTACAGGAAATAAACTCAAATTGCTTTCCTTGTGGGTGAGTAGGTGGGGCATCTACCCCCTGCTTCAAAACTACTGAACTTACTTTACCAATATTTACCTCTATGCATTCAATGAGAGTAAACTCTGACTCCAGCTTTCATACCACTTCTCCTGGCCTCAGGTTTTTTGTTGTTTTTGTTTTGTTTCGTTTGGTGGTGTCCGGTGGCTTGAGGGATCTTGGTTCCCTGACCAGGGATTGAACATGCACCGTCAGCAGTGAAGACTCTGAGTCTTAACCACTGGACCATCAGAGAATTCCCCTCATTTCATTTTAAAATGGGGGAAGTGGTTCCTTAGAGTGGTCTTCAAGGTCAGTGCTAGCTGTTTTGATGTGTTCTAAAGCACAAACTGATGCCTTATTCATTAATGCCTTATTATGCTACAGATCAGTGGTTCTCACTGGCTGCATATTAGAAACAACTGTGAAGTTTGTAAAACAATTTGGTGCCCAAGTGTCTCCCCAGACCAGTTAAATCAGAATTTTTGGAAATAAGACTCAGGCATTGTGTTGGTTAATTTAATAAAAACACAAGATGAGAAATAAAATTGGAGAAGCCACATGTGTAATCATATTAGTCCCTGTATATTACATTTCACTTTAATTGTTCCTTTCAACTGTAATCAGTTTTCCAGACACTTGTGAATGAATTTCTTCACAACTCACTGCATAGTGGGAACCTGATTCCGTTTCGATTCGTGGGAAGGATCATAAACACTGAAGTTGAGGATGAGTCAAACCTAGATCCATCACTGAAACTTCTAATGAGAGAGTGAATTCCCATTTGGATTGTCAACTAAAAAAGCTGCACAACGTGAGACTTGCGAGTTCAGTTTTATTTGGGGTAAAATGAGGACTGCAGCCTGCGGGACAGCACCGCAGGTAGCCCCAAGAGACTGCTCCAGAGAGGTAGTGAGGGAAGGTCAGTATGTAAGGTTCTGGGGAAAGGGGAGCTTAATGCAATCAAGTGCTCACTTTACAAAAGGTGTTCTGTTAGTGATGTCACCATGAAGGGATTTAGTGATTTTCTAGACAGGAAGAGGTGGCAAAAATTGGGATCATGAAATCAGTTCCTGAAAATATCTAACTATCTAAAGACCTGTCCCACCAGACTCCCTGGAGCACAGAGTGCCTCACTCCACCCTGAGCTCCCTTAGGGGGTGTTCAAGGTCAACAGCTGCAGCAGCACATCATTCAATCTCCTTGTTTTTGTTCAGTCACTGGCAAATGCTCTTTGCAGCTCTTTGCAATTACAAATTTGCAAGTACCAATTTATAGTTGACAGGATGTACTATTTTTTATTTTTTACTAATTTTAAGAAATATTTATTTATCTGGCTGTGCTGGTTCTTCACTATAGCACGAGAGAGGCATGTGTGATTTAGTTCCCTGACCATGGATCGACTGGGGCCCCCTGCTTTGGGAGAGCTGAGTCTCAGCCACTGGATCATCAGGGAAGTCATTGGATGTACTATTTTGCACTCAGGACACTGGCATCTAAACTAACCGCTTCTCTCTCAAAAACGAAATGGCTTAGGAGAGAGCTGCACAACACATACGTGGGTTTGAAACCTCTGACCAGAGAAGGCCAACAGGGGGCCTTACTGGACAACCTGGGTCCCACAACTGTGAAGCCCAGAGGACTGTGGGATTTGTAGTTCTTCTTGCATCATTTCGGCTTCATGAACTACATTTCCCAAAATGCAAATACAGCCGTTCTGTCCCTGTTGGGCATAAAGGGTCCCTTAAGCTGTGGAAGGTAAGTGTGTTCTGTGAGGGCTGCAGGTTTCTAGAAATTGTGGATTCCATTTCTCTTCTTTGCCCTTTGGTGGGATCTGGGAGAGAGCAGTTGTTCCAGTAGAGCATGTTTTCAACGGGGTTTCCCGAGCCCTTTGGTCTCAGGAATCGGGATCCTGTATTTGTCTTAACTGTTCACGTGTTGATTTGAAAAGTCAGAGTCCTGATCCCAGATCTGGAAAGCCCAGTATAAAATAATGTTTACGTATGGGGTGAGTGTCACTGGAGAATGTCTACATTTTATCAAAATCTATGTCAAGGCCTTGTTTTTTTACAGCTAGAAAAGCTGAGGAAGACTGTCTTGTCATGTCTCATGACTCTTCACTGTGTCCAAGCATCTGTATTTGCAGTTGAGGGTAAATTAATAGAATATGGGGGAAATAAAATAAAAGGTAAATGAGTGCTTAACTACATTAATAAAATCCTGAAAAGTCTGAACAACAGTTTCATCAACTAAACTGGAATTCAAATATGCCTCTTTAGTTTATGAAGAAATAAGATAATTTTAATTTATAAAGTGGGATGTAGGTTTTTGGGACACACAGCCCCCTGAGGGATGGTTTAACTAAAAATATAAATGTGTTCCTCTGATAGAGACGTCTTCAGATGGAGTCATAGATAGGTTAACAATGAGCTATTAAAGGACTTAAATATTTTTTTATTTTTGTCTGTGTCGGGTCTTTGTTGCAGCACGTGGGATCTCAGTTCCCGGAAAGCGTTGAAAGTGTTAGTCACTCAGTCATGTCCAACTTTTTGTGACCCCATGCACTGTAGCCCACCAGGCTTCTCTCTCCAGGGGATTTCCCAGGCAAGAATACTGGAGAGGGTTGCCATTTCTTTCCCTAGGGGATCTTCCTGATCCAGGGATCAAACCCAGGGAATACTACTTTAGTTCCTGGACCAGGGATCAAACCCACATCATTTGCATTGGAAGGCAGATTTTTAACCACTAGACTGCCAGGCAAGTCCCAACCACTCACTTTTTGAAATTTATAAAAAATTCAGTTCTGACCAGCCAGGAGTTACTGGGAGAGACAGAATAGTTCTTATATTTTTTTTTTTTTTTCAGGCAGGTTCTTTACCACTAACGCCACCTGGGTTTGGGCTTCCCTGGATCAGGAAGAACCCCTGGAGAAGGGCACTAAATAAGGATGTTACCCAAGCTTTGCTTTTAGTTTCTTACCTAGAGTTAAGGTTTATCTATGTAAGTTTAGGCTAAGCTTAACCCTTGTTTACTGCCGTACTGTTGATAATCATGTGCTCTTGCTGTCATTTTTGTCTAGGTCAAGGGCAGCGTGAGAGAGGTACATGTTTTAAGTTACCTGCCCTCGCTCACTATGTCTGTTTATTTCAGATATGTTTTCTCCAAATACTATATGATTGCTAATATCGTCTAGATATTGGAATTTTGTCTACCGTTAAGGCAAAATATTCCATATTTTAGCTTCTTTTCAAACTTCTTCATTCTTCTTTCTTCTCATTAAAACAAATTATTTATTTGGCTGTGTTGGGTCTTTCTTAGTTGTGTCACGTGGGATCTTCCTTGCCATGCGACACTTGAGCTCCAGAGCACTTGGGCTCAGAATGTTGCCGTTTAATGGGGAGTAGTTGTTGCAGTTTCCCTGTGTTAAGAATGGGGAGTCTTTACCACTGGACCACCAAGGAAGTCCTTTATGATTTTTCTGATCATATCCCTTAAGTTTATAAAATATGGGTATAAACATTTTACGTGGCTTTTGACATTTTCATGGATTTTGGCATTTCTGTACTTGCACTGTCAAGGGCACACTAGGGCATCTGCAATCCAAACATTCCTCTAAGAAATTACTATTAAAAAATTTATTTGTTATTGTGGAGATAGGTAATGTAATGAATCCCCATCCATGGATCTATCACAAATCTTCAACAATGAACAACTCTTGGTTAATCTTGTGCTATTTATTTACTCTACCTATTGATTATTCGCTCATCTGTTTTGTGTGTTTTTTAATTAAATTAAAAATTTTAGGGACTTCCCTGGTGGTCTAGTGGCTAAAACTGTGTTCCCAATGCAGGGGACCCAGGTTCGATTCCTAGTCAGGGAACTAGATCCCACACGCCACAACTGAATGATCCCATGTGCTACAACTAAGACCTGGTGCTGCCAAATATTTAGAAAAACCTTTTTTTTTTCCTACATTTAGTTGAAAGTTGCAGGTGTACAACATAGTGATTCATAATGTTTAAAGGTTATATTCCATTTGTAGTTATTATAAAATATTGGCTATGTTCGTGTTGTATTATATATCCTTGTAGCTTATTTATTTTATAGATAATAGTTCGTACTTCTTGATCCTCTCTCCCATCTCACCCCACCCCCCTTCTCTTGGTTATCTTGATTTTTAAAACCCTGTTTCTGAACTTCCCTGGTGGTCTAGTGGTTAAGACCCTGAGCTTCCAGTGCAGGGGCACCAGTTGGATCCCTGGTCTCAGGGAAGTTCCCTGCATCCTATGGGATGCACCGTGTGGCAAAAAAAAAACACAATAGATAAAAAACAAGTAATTAAAAAAAAAAACATTTTCTTCTGTGATTTTTTTTTCTCTCTAGCATGAGGATGAGCTTTGGGTTAACTTTCAAAAGGACAACAAAAGTTCGCTGGAGGGCAGACTTCAGCCAGCAGTGCTCACTCGGATCCACTGGGTTATTTGTGCCACCAAGTCCTCCTCTGGACCCTGCGAAGGTCGAAGAGTTACAACGCTTCATCACCCTTTCCAAGAGACTCCTAGTAATGACCGGGGCAGGAATCTCCACCGAGTCAGGGATCCCAGACTACAGGTCAGAAAAGGTGGGACTTTATGCCCGCACAGACCGGAGGCCTATCCAGCATGGGGATTTTGTACGGAGCGCTCCCATCCGCCAGCGGTACTGGGCTAGAAACTTTGTGGGCTGGCCTCAGTTCTCCTCCCACCAGCCTAACCCTGCACACTGGGCTCTGAGCAACTGGGAGAGACTCGGAAAGCTGCACTGGTTGGTGACCCAAAACGTGGATGCCTTGCATACCAAGGCGGGAAGTCAGCGCCTAACAGAACTGCACGGATGCATGCACAGGTATGGGAAGACCTAAAACAGAATGCAGAAACGTGTGCTCCGTTACAACAGGGACCCTGGCCATCCTGATCACTACTGTCTTCCCTAGACCATGAGGAAATGATTCGGGAGGAAGTTGTTTACTCTGGAGTTGATCCTAGCAAATTCAGTGAGGGAATGGGACGTGAAACAGGGAAGATAGGAGAGCTCGGGGAAGGTTATACTAATGAATGGGTTACTGCTTGGGGCAGCTGGGGCTCAAGCCTATCGGGCCCTCTGACTGTACAGCAGTTTCAGAATCATCTTACTGAAAATCAAGGGACCTGGGGCATTTATCCATCATCTCCAGTCCTTCATTGGTGGAGGGGGACTCTGGGAGAATTAACTCCTTAACACTGACTCGGCTCCTGCAGGAAAGCTTCTATGGCCAGAGAATTAGGAAGCCACTTATAAGAGATCTGTATGCAGGTGGCCTCTGAGTGTTCCCAGGGAACTGTGAGCAAACCACCAACAGCATGTGCTACAAACGGCTGGGTCTCCAGTGCCTAGACACATAGATCACAGGATAGCCAGGACCCAATAAAGACTGATGAAATGAACATATGTAGCCCTGGTCGTAACTGGTAGCTAATTGGAGCTCATTTCCTTATCTTTAAGCCTGGGCCACAGTTCTGTGCAAACTGAAATCAGTAAACTCTTTATTGGGTGCCTGCAACATGTGGTGTGTACCGGTGTGCTACTTGCTGGTGTGGAGGGGTCAAAACCAAAATATAAAATGTGGTCTGCATTATATATATATAATGTATTATATATATAATGTATTATATATATAATGTGTTATATATATATATATAATACCAAAATATAATATGTGAGAATTTGGTAATCTGTTTGTTGGGGGGACCCGAAAATACCAGGTTTAGTGACAAACAACTCCACACATGACTGTTATTTTATGTGGTCCTTGATAGACATGTTTTACAGGTTCAGAGAAACAGTGAAGACTGGAATAATCAAGAAAGCTTTTATAGGTGAGGTGGGGCTGGAGAATAGCTCAGGTTTGACTTGGAAAAGGAGGGGAAAGAGGGCTTTCCATATGAAGAGAACTTTTGTAGAGTGTGGAGTGGTCTCCTTGGAGACTAGTATGAAATCAGCTTGTCTGGGAAGGCTAAACCCAAATCCTGGATGCATTTGATAATCACACAGTGCTGATTTGGGTCTGTTGTGAGAGACCAAAGGGGGCTGTTGGTGGTTTCTGAGCAAGAAAGCAATATGATAAAAATAGCATTTGCAGAAGGCTGGACAGGACTAGGAACAGTGGCTCAGGGAGGTCAGCCAGAAGGACTCAGACTAAGGTGGTGTTAGGGAATGACCTGGGGATGGCTATGGGTTCATTAAGTTTTTTCTGTGATGAAAATTTCAAAAATCCATAGAAGTAGAGTCGTATAGTGGACTCCCACATACTATCACCCAGGTTCAAAGAGTTTTATCAAGTCTACTTTATCTTTTCTCTCCATCTCTTCTTAATTTTTTTTTTTTTTTGGCCTCGCTGTGTGGCATGCAGATCTTAACACCCCAACCAGGGATCAAACCTGTGACCCTTGCATTGGGAGCGGGTGGTCTTAACCATTGGATCGCCAGGGAAGTCCCATCTTCTTAAATATTTTAAAACAAATCTGGGACCTGGCAGTGAAAGCCTGGAATCCTAACCACTAGGCTACCAGGGAACTCCTGGGAAAGTGTTTTTGTGGGCAGCGATAATTACAGCAAATGATTAGAGCAGAAGATGGAGCAGGGTGGAAAACCCTGGTTTCGGGACTAACGAAATTATCTGGTAAAGTCTTTGCAGTTGTGTTAAGGATAAAAGTGAGCTGCAGCAGATTTAAGCAGGGAGTGGGTGGTGAGAAAACAAATGCATGTTGTTCTAGAAGGCTGGCAGGCACTGGAAGGAAGGTGGTAGCTAAAGAGGTCATGACAAGGTATGAATAAAATGGGGGGAAACGGTGGGTGTCAGGGAGAGAAAGCCATCATGATGGAGGAGCTGGAGATGGCTGGGATGAAAGGTCTCTGGCAGCTTTGTGCCTCCCCCAGAACAGTCAGCCTTCTCTGTGGTTTCAGGGTCCTCTGCTTGGACTGTGGGGAGCAGACTCCCCGAGGGGCGCTGCAGGAGCGGTTCCAAGTCCTGAACCCCACCTGGAGTGCCGAGGCCCACGGCCTGGCTCCCGACGGCGATGTCTTTCTCACCGAGGAGGAGGTACAGAGCTTCCGGGTCCCGTCCTGCTCTCGATGTGGGGGCCCCCTGAAACCAGATGTTGTCTTCTTCGGAGACACAGTGAAGCTTGACACGGTTGATTTTGTGCACAAGAGGGTGAAAGAAGCCGACTCCCTCCTGGTGGTGGGATCTTCCTTGCAGGTAACTGGCTTGTTGTTACAAGTAACTGCAGGCTGGGGGGCCCTGGCGGTGGTGGTACTGGTCGTGGTTTAGTCATTAAGTCGTGTCTCATTCCTTCTGACCCCATGGACTGTAGCCCACCAGGCTCCTCTCTGCCTGGCATTTCCCAGGCAAGTATATTGGAATTGGTTGCCATTCCCTTCTCCTGGGGATCAAGCCCGTGTCTCCTGAATTGGCAGGCAGATTCTTTACTACTGAGCCACCTGGGGAGCCCTCCAGGGACTCTCTATTGGGCCTAGCTCTTTCTGCATCTAGAGAGCTCTTACCTGCCTCTTCTGCCCCGATAGGTGTACTCGGGTTACAGGTTCATCCTCACTGCCCGGGAGAAGAAGCTGCCCATCGCGATACTGAACATTGGGCCCACGCGGTCTGATGACTTGGCGTCTCTGAAACTGAATTCTCGTTGTGGAGAGTTGCTGCCTTTAATAGACCCACGCTGACCACAGCCTGATGTTCTGGAGCTGGAAACTGGGGCTTTCACTTGAATTCTGCTGCTAAGGGTAAAAAACCTTAGATACTAGATTCCAGTTCCCACTCAAGTCCAGTACTACGCTTCCACTGCAGGGGGGCATGGTTCCATACCTGGTCAGGGAACTAAGATCCCACATGCTGAGGGACGTGGTAAAAAAAAAACGATGGGCATTTTTCATTATTATTTATTTTTAGCTGTGCTGCAGGGGCTTTCTCTGGGTTGTGGCCAGTGGGGGCTACTCTTCATTGGGGTGCAAGGGCTTCTCATTGTGTTGTGTTCTCTTGTTACCTCTAGGCAGGAGGGGTTCACTAGTTGTGGCATGGGCTTAGATGCCCTTCACCACGTGGAATCTTCCAGGACCAGGGATTGAACCCCTGTTCCCTGCATTGGTAGACGGATTCTTAACCACTGAACCAACAAGGAAGTCTTGGTATGGCCATTCTTAACTGAAACTTAAGTGAAATGGTTTCTTAATGGTTAAGTGAAATGGTTTAAACTTAAGTGAACAACAACAACAAAAAAACTTAAGTGAAATGGTTTCTTAAATGAAACCATTCTTAATTTTTTGATGTACGTTAAGCGATATTGTTGGAAAGACTATGATTTTTGAATTCTAGGCGCACAGCTATTTAAGACAATGTTCCAAAATCTGCCATTGCCTTTTTCCCCCATTACCAAAAATAACAGCTTTATTGAGATATGATTCCCACACCATAAAGTTCATCCTTTAAAAGTATACTTTAAAAGTATATAATTAATGTGTTCTTAGTATACTCACAAAGTTTACACATGAATCACCACTACTTCTAGAACATTCTCACCATCCCAGGAAGAAAGCTTGTACCCATTAGCAATGATTCCCCATTTCCCACCTCCCAGTCCTGACAACAAATAATCTTCTGTTTTTGCCTGTCCTGGACATTTCATACAGTAGACACTTTTGTGTCTGTCGTCTCCTCTTAGTATGTTTTCAAGATTCACCCATATTGTAGCAGGTGTCAGTACTTTATGCCTATATTCACCTATGAGTACAACCACTTAAAAAAAGTTTTTTTCCAGCTTTGAGATATAATTAATATATCATACAGTTCACTCATTTACTGCATACATTTCAATAGTTTTTAATATATTCCCAGAGGAGTACAGCCACTTTTTTAAAAAACAGATTTTATTTTTTGAGGTTCACGGCAGAATTGAGCAGAAAGTACAGGAGGTTCCCATACATTCCTTCCCCGTTTACACGGTATTTGTTGTTTATTTACTGAAGGAAACTTGGTTGCTTCCAACTTCTTGGCAATTATGAATAAAGTGGAGGTTTTCTGTCGACGTAAGTTTTCATCTCACTTGGGCAAGGACCAAGGAGTGAGATTGCTAGATCAGATGATAAGAATATCTGTAGTTTTTAGTTCTTTGATAGTAAGAAACTACCAAAGTGTTTTCTCAAGTGGCTGCGTCCCCACCAGCAATGTGTGAGAGTTTCTGTACAACTCCTTTGTAAAAACCACTTTAATGACGATGTAGAGCCTCAGGATCAAGGAAGAGAACACTGCTAGCCCCCAAGTCCCCTTGGCACAATCACTTTTGAAAGTGTTCGCCGTTCAGTTGTGTCCAACTCTGTGATCCCATGGGCTGTAGCCCATCAGGTTCCTCTGTCCATGGAATTCTCCAGGCAAGAATACTAGAGTGGGCAGCCATTCCCTTCTCCAAGGGATCTTCCCGACCCAGAGATCGAGCCCAGGCATCTCACATTGCAGGTCGATTCTTTACCATCTGACCCACCAGGGAAGCCCACAATCACTTTTAACTAGTGTCTTATGACTAGAATAAAACATATTTATTATGGAAAGTGCAGGTGATACAGATAAGTAAAAAGGATTTTCATACAAATTACCCATAATCTCACCACCAAGATAACCAAAATTTAACATTCTGATGTAACTGAATCTAGATCTTTTCTTATAAAAGTTGAATCAAGCAGTACAGTGTTTTTTCTACATCCTGTTTTCACCTTACAGAGGTGACATGCCCTAAATTCTATGGTTTTTTGAATGAGGGACTGATGTACACAGCCATTTCCTCCTCCTCACTGCCGGCTTATTTTGGCATTAATTTGTTTCATTTCTTTTCAGATCTCTAAGGATTCATCCCAACTTCCTCTATCTGATTGAGGCTTACCAACTGTAGTCTGCAGAGGGCGGCAAAGCAACATCTCTCTGCAGGACCATCTCTGAACCCAGCAGGTTTCAGAGCTCAGGAGTTAAAATCTTCAGGTTGATGAGATTTGCCCCATAAGATGGACTTGCACCCTCTTTTGATAGGAAAACTGCTTTTTAAAAATCTCATTTGGCAGAAGAAAGAGCCCAGGAAGTATGTAAACCAGAATGACCTCCGGAGTGCTAACCTAGGGATCTCACTAATATCCTGAGTAAGGGGGGTAAGGAAATGACTTAATTTATAATTCTAAATGGTTAAATATATTTAACTGAATCATCTTGATATATTTTTTTTTTTTTTCAAAAAAATGATGAGCAATACTATGAATTAATTTTTTACTAACCAAGGAATAAAGGAAACATTTTTAAAATAGCACATTAGGTATGTGGGTTGTACTTTTGTATTTTTTTAATCAGCTGAAAATGAATGTAGCTTTATGACCCAGTTCTCTAAGGATTTCTGCTTGATTTCAGCTACTGGAATGAGACCGGCCTTGAACCTGGTCTGTAGAGAGGAAACAGTGAATTCCCAAGTGGGTTCTTAAATTGATTTGTTTCTGCTGAGGGAAGCAGCAAGCCTTGTTTGATTACTGTGTTAGCCAGAGAGAATCACTGTCCTACGCTAAAGCTTTCTGCACAATCTCATCAAAAAGTGAAGCGGGTGAAAGATTCACAGCCTATTCTGGGTAGTCTTTTGTCTGAAATTGGGGCAAGCAATATACATTTATCCTGCATCTGCCTAGGAAGCAAATTTCAGTTAACTGGGATAACCCAAGATATTGAAAACACATAGCTTTCTTTTCACCTGCACAATATAGGTTTGCTCATAATCATTAATTCTGGAGAGGTGTAAGGTTGTTGTAAATCTCACTCTAGCTTTTTTGCATCTAGAGATACTAAGATGTTCTGAACCAGATTTGCTCAGTTACTAAAAGTCGGTACCACCAATAATTGCATTCAAATCTGGGTGTTTTGAATTCCTAGCCATTCCCCTCCACGAATCTCATAAATGGTTACTGACCAACAGTGTATTTATCTACTAAGGCTACAAAGATACAGCCTCTTGTTCTCAAGTGGCTCACAAAAGATGTGTTATCTCACCCACCCTCATTCCTTACCAAAAGATGTCACAGAGTCAGGCATGAAATGACAGGAGAGAAAATTTAGTCCACCCCCTATTCACTTTGTCTAAGATCCAGACTAACTAAGGCCACAGTTTTTAAAGAGCCAGGACTAGAATCCAGGTAGATCTTCCTCCCAGTTCTTTTAGACAGCAGTGATTCCTACTTCTCTGAAGATTCCACTTAGAAGGAAGTTAGCCTGAAGTAGAAGTCAACAGCACCTCTGGCCAAGAATGGTTACAATGTGGGTAGTGGTGACCAGGTTAGGCTTCAGGGAGAGAGGTCAGGCTCTTTTATCACCTAATGCTGGCACGATTCATGAAACTGAGTCTTGAGGGCCTTAGGAATGTTTGTTTTGGTCATATTTCCTCTGGAGATGGAATTCTTTGCAAAAAAAATTTGTCTCAAGAGAAACCTGGCATTTCCTGAAGCTGATGCTTCTCATGTCTCTCACTTTACATCTTTTGCTTTCTTCTAGCTTGGCAGTTCCCAACCCGCTGTAAGTGCCCTGAGTTGGACCAACAGACTTCTACTAGCAGGTGCTATCAGCTTGTCGCTGGCCTGGTTACATGGTTCTAACTGCATCCGTCCAGCTTTGGCTGTGACTTTCACTCACATCCTTCCTAGTTGCTTCCACAGCTGCTCTGCCATCACAGTTTTATTATATTGTTTGTTTTTTAATTAATTTATTTATTGTGGTTGTGCTGGGTCTTCATTGCTGCACACAGGCATTCTCTAGCTGCAGTGAGTGGAGGCTACTCTTCTCTGTGGTGTTCAGGTTTCTCATTGCTGTGGCTTCTCTCGCTGCAGAGAACAGGCTTTTCAGCACAGACTCAGCAGTTGGGCCCCATGGGCTTTAGTTGCCCCAAGGCATGTGGGATCATTCCCAGACTATGGATTGGACTCATCCCCAGCATTGCAAGGCAGATTCTTATCCACTGTACCATCAGGGAAGTCCTCACAGTTCTCATAAGAAGAAGTCATGAAGGCAAAGAAGTACAGAATACTCAACATTTCCTTCCCACTAACACATATTCCTTCTTTCATGATGTCAAAACTGAATATCCTTTCAGCTCTCCCTTAAATAATAGCATTTGTTGAACATGCTATATCCCAAGCATTGTGCAAAGCATTTTACAACGTATCAGCTCAGTTGACCCCATCAGAGATGCTTGTGCATGCATCAAGGTCAGTCCTCATTGGATTCCAAATGTTTCCTGAGAGGATCAAAGGCAGGATGGACAGAAAATGCAACACTCCTAGGTAGGGTGACCAGCCATCCCACATTTCCCAGTACTGAAGGAGTTTCCTGATGCAGGACTTGTAGTGCTAAAACCAAGATGACCTGTTCACCCTGCTCTGAGGAAGAGCAAAGGTTGCTGCCAGCTATAATAGTTAATTCCAGATATATTATTCTTGTTGAGATTCAAGATGGTCCTCTGACATCCAGAGTGCATCCTTAATTTTTTAAAAAAATATTTGTCTGTGCCAGGTCTTAGCTGTGGCATGTAGCATCTTTAGTTGCAGCATGTGGGTTCTAGTTCCCTGACCAGGGACTGCACCCAGGCCTCCTGCATTGGGAGCACAGAGTTTTAGCCACTGGGCAACCAGGGATGGCCCTGAGTCCTTAATTTTTATGTCACATGAACAAAAAGAAACTTAAACTCATCCAAGTAAGCAGAGTCTTTCTTCTCAATTTATTAAAGGAAGAATATAGCAATGCACTGAAACTCTTAGGATATAGGCAGATTTGGATTTCCAAAACCGTGTCTTGCTAATTAGCAGTTAAGTGAACTTGGGCAAGTTGTTTTATCTAATTTTCGGTTTCTATAAACGAGGATAATAGGAGCTACCTCATTGGGTGGCTATGAAGATTAAACAAGTTAATGAAGCATATATAGCTCACAGCACAGTGGCTGGCAAAGTGAGCAAATGTCAGCCATTATCACTAGGATATGGGAGGCGGGGGGGATGGTGAGATGAGAAGCCATCCCACCTGCCAACCCTTTGTCTTCTATCGAGCGCTCCTCTGAGTAGACTCGCTCGGCTCTTCCCAGAGCCACTCTCCTTATTCTGTACCTGTTTGTCTTAAGACGGACTCCCCTGGTGGTCCAGTGGCTACTTCTGCTTTATTGACCACACCAAAGCCTTTGACTGTGTGGATCACAACTGACTGTGGAAAATTCTTAGAGATGGGAATACCAAACCACCTGACCTGCCTCCTGAGAAATCTGTACGCAGGTCAAGAAGCAACAGTTAGAACTGGACATGGAACAACAGACTGGTTCCAAATCAGGAAAGGAGTACGTCAAAGCTGTATATTGTCACCCTGCTTGTTTAACTTATATGCAGAGTACATTATGCAAAATGCTGGGCTGGATGAAGCACAAGCTGGAATGAAGATTGCTGGGAGAAACATCAATAACCTCAGATATGCAGAGGACACCACCCTTATGGCAGAAAGCAAAGAAGAACTAAAGAGCCTCTTGAAAGTGAAAGAGGAGAGTGAAAAAGTAGGCTTAAAGCTCAACATTCAGAAAACTTAGATCATGGCATCCGGTCCCATCACTTCATGGCAAATAGATGGGGAAACAATGGAAACAGTGAGAGACTTTATTTTGGGGGGCTCCAAAATCACTGCAGATGGTGACTGCAGCCATGAAATTAAAAGATGCTTGCTCCTTGGAAGAAAAGCAATGACGAATATAGACAGCATATTAAAAATCAGAGACATTGCTCTGCCAACAAAGGTCCTTCTAGTCAAAGCTATGGTTTTTCCAGTAGTCATGTATGGATGTGAGAGTTGGACTATAAAGAAATCTGAGCGCCAAAGAATTGATGCTTTTGAACTATGGTATTGGAGAAGACTCTTGAGAGTCCCTTGGACTGCAAGGAGATCCAACCAGTCAATCTTAAAGGAAATCAGTCCTGAAAATTCACTGGAAGAACTGATGCTGAAGCTGAAACTCCAATACTCTGGCCACCTGATGTGAGGAACTGACTCATTGGAAAAGACCCTGATGCTGGGAAAGATTGAAAGCAGGGGGAGAAGAGGATGAGATGGTTGGATGACATCACCAACCTGATGGACGTGTTTGAGCACGCTCCGGGAGTTGGTGATGGACAGGGAAGCCTGACGTGCTGCATTCCATAGGGCCGCAAAGAGTCAAACACGACTGAGTGACTGAACTGGTCTTAAGAAAAAAAAAATCACAAAAGCCAAGCTTTGCTTGATGTAATAAAGCCTTTCTAAAGAAAATAAAGTATACTCTTCCAGAAAAGAAAACCCTCTTATGCTGTTGGTGGGACTGTAAATTGGTGCAGCCACTATGGAAAACAATAGGGAGATTTCTCAAAAACCTAGAACTAGGGCCAACTAGTTTCTTGAGGATAAGTAAAAAAAAAAGAAAGAAAGAAAAAAGCACTAATTTAAAAAGACATGCACCTTCACGAACACAGCAGCAGTTTTTACAATTGCCAAGGTATAGAAGCAACCTAAGTGTCCATCAACAGACGAATGGATGAAGATAGGGTATGCCCAGAGGCCTACTCAGCCATTAAAAGAACAAAGTCTTGCCATGTGCAGCAACATGGATGAACTTGGAGGGCATTATGCTAAGTGAAATAAGTCAGAGAAAGACAAAACACTGTATATCACTTACCTGTGGAATCTGAAAAAATACAGCAAACTAGCGAATAAAGAAGAGGCAAAATCACAGATCTAGAGAACATATCTGTGGTTACCAGGGGTGAGACACAAGTCGGGAAATGCAAAATAGCAGGTAGGGGATAAAAAAAAGTTTAGGTCTTCCCACCGGGCACAGTGGCAAAGGGTCCACCTGCCAATGCAGGAGACCCCAGAGACTGCGGTTCAATCCCTGGGTCAGGAAGATCCCTTGGAGTAGGAAATGGCAACCTATTCGCTTATTTTTACCTGGAAAATTCCATGGACAGAGAACCCTGGTGGGCTGCAGTCCATGGGGCCACAAAGAGTTGGACACCACTGCATGCATTAAAAAAAGGTTATTATGGGGTTATATGAAATTACCTGTTGCAAAACTTTTGAAAAGTATAAAGCACTATAGAATTTAAAGAATCTTTTGTTTAAAAAGTTGAAAAAAAATCCTTCTTTTTCCTTTGGAAAATAGTATTTATGGAACATTTACAACAAGCACT